AATTGTGATTCTAAGCTCAAGCAAAGAAGATTCAAGCTATTTGAAGAGGTAAACATCTAGATATGATGTTGGTTGTTATTTTGATAATATGTATGCTAGTTTAGGGTTTGCAAGACTTGGATTCAAAGCATGTACAATAGAGAAATCTAGATCCAAGCATTAGGGTTTGTATGAGCACATAGGATTGTTTCTTATGCATAAAACCCATCACGTACAACAACAGCTATCATACTAGCATCAAGGTCGCGCCATTCGAAGCTCTCTATGGCCGCAAGTGCAGATCACCGCTGTGCTGGGCTGAAGTGGGAGATACACAGCTAGCAAAAGGGCAAGTTCCGAACAGCACCCTCACAGGCCCTGAAATCATAAGGGAGACTACGGAAAAGATCGTGCAAATTTGAGAAAGACTGAAAGCATCTCGAGATCGACAAAAGAGCTACGCAGATAAGCGACGCAAACCCTTGGAATTCCAGGTTGGAGACCGGGTACTACTGAAGGTCTCACTATGGAAAGGAATGATATGTTTTGGTAAACGTGGTAAACTAAATCCAAGGTACATCGGGCCTTTCGAAATCCTTGCCAGGATTGGCCCAGTGGCATACAAACTCCGACTACCCCAAGAACTTAATAACGTACACCCGACCTTCCATGTGTCAAACTTAAAGAAGTGTCTGTCCGACGAGACTCTTGTAATACCACTCGACGAAATCGAGGTCAACGAAAGTCTCCACATCGTAGAAGAACCGGTTGAAATCATGGATCGAGAGATCAAGAGAACGAAACAGAGTCGCATCCCCATGGTGAAGGTCCATTGGAACGCTAAACGAGGACCCGAGTTCACCTGGGAACGTGAAGATCAGATGAAACAAAAATACCCACACCTTTTCCCTAACGCCTGAAGTCCCAGTCAAAACGCTAATTTCGGGACGAAATTCCTTCTAACGGGGGGATGATGTGACAACCGTAAATTTCTGGTCAAGTCAAAGTCAATGAAATTCAACGAGTCAAACCGGTCAACTCAACTAACCCTTGTATATTAGGTTTTACATTATGTTTACTATTATACAACTCACTATCTTAATGCAAAGTATCACTTAAGGTTTTCACGTGTTTGGAAAATCTAAACCCTAATCAAGGTGAATGATGTAACTACTTGATAAAATACTATTACATACCCTGCGAGTCATATAACACTCATAACAAGGTTTAACGGGGCTTACGAACCTTGCATTTCGAGGCTAAACACTCACAAAGGGCGCAAACAAAGTCTCTCTAAATCTCTCTCACTCTATCTCTGTCCCCCAAATCTCTCCCAAATCTCTCTCAAAATCTCTTTCAAACTTTTTATAATCATTCAGGGCATCCCGACCTATAACTTAGTCAAACACCACTCGAAACGGGAAGATTTCTTGGAAAACAACCATGTAGAACCGAAACTAGCTATAAGAACCGAAACAAGCTGTAAGAACCGAAACTACAAGCTTTTGAGGATGGAACGCTATGGCGTTTGACATAGCGTTCTCAGGTAATCAATGAAATCAGGTAACTACAAGCTTTTGAGGATGGAACGCTATGGCGTTTGACAAACTATTTTTGATATCATATTGTAATCGATTTTGAAACATGTAACATTTGAAACCATGTAACCTTTTTGATTATATTTATGATTGGTTGTATGTACTGTGATCACTATTATACTCGTTGTTATGATACTATACATGATGTCATTCCCACCCCCAGACGTTTCCGCCATCCTTGGTTTGGGGGTGTGTCAGAATATGAGAATGTTTCCATAATGGGAGATGCTTGTAGAATATATATGTGAGTTGGAAGATTTTATGCAAGAGAAGTGTTAAAGAAGTGTACCTTGAATTTGAAACTTCATAACCATGGAATTGTTTCTAATAACGAGTTCCACCGGAACATTCTGTAATGTCGAACATTCAGTCTCTGTGACTTTAGAACCTTGACATCACAGAAAGACAATGCATGTAAATATGAAATTCCATTACATCTTAGATAACGATAAGAATTTGGAATTGTGAAATGAACATCATTAGAGTAATGTCCAGTTGATCTGTTTGCAAAGGAAGGACCGTTGAGAGGCATAGTATGCATGTTCATAACATGGCATGACGAATGTTATCTAATTCAAGTGGTTAGTTGATTGCTCGAAACCTTATACAATGAATAAATCCGTAATTGTTATGGTGATTAAATAATAGAGATTTATTTATATTCAAGGGTTATGATATCATAGTTAAGTAGTTTATTATTGTGTTTCACTTTGCATGTTTTACTTCCTGAATAATTTTATTATTCAAATTTCATAGTCTTTATTACTTTTAGAAGTAAGTAGTGAATCAAGACTGTCATGAATCAATTCTAGACTGTTCATAGAGATTAGACATTGCATACGGATTGCTGCAATATTCATGAGTACTTGGAACTAGGGATTTTAAGTATTGGATAAACCCACACTTAGAGATTACTTCATAGATTCAATCACAAGTAATTCTAAGACGATAATATCTATTATTCGTTAAACGGAGATACATAAGTTGTAATTTCCAAGTCGGTTGTGCATTGGTGTTGCGTACACGCATCAGTGACATGATGTTATAAAACATAGTCTCATGTATGATTTGATAAGTAAAGGTTATAGTTATGTAGTCAAAGTTTATTCTTTCCTTTTGCCTTAACATGAAAAGCGATATCTATGAGCCCCTCGGTGATTTGAGTTGATCTATGAAAAACCAGACGCATGGTCCGGACTAAATTGATGTGTTCGATTTTGTAGTCTAAATTCGATCACAGATCGGGAAATCGGGAAACAAACAAATGAACATGGGGTTGATTGTTTAATCCATGAGTTTGTTCATACGATATCTTGTAGAACGAATGAATAGTTGATCACTTATCTTAGGGCCAACATTTGATTTGAATCAAAGTTCGACAATGGCTTTGGAAAGCACACTTTGCTGTTTAGTTCAAGGTTATACTTGCAATTGTAGTTATAGACTTATCCAAGTGGGAGACTGTTGGATTAAGGTGTCTAAGATCATAACTAAATTTGTATAAACTTGTAATTAGAAGATAAATCATTTGCGGGTTGCCCTCATAACCAGAAATAACTAGAAATGATAATAGGAGAGAGAAGGATAATATATTAGATTATTATGTGATTAATAAACTAATTGGAAATTATGGGAAAATGATTTGTTAATATATTATGTAATTAATATATTAATTAGAAATAGATAATTGGTTTGTTGATTTATTATGTGATTAATAAATTAATATAAAGTCAATAAGAACTAATTAATTATTAATCATAATTAATCTAGAATTAATTCAGGATTAATTGGAATTAATTAAAGGTGAAAGTGGTAAATTGTAATTATTCAATAGTTGAACAAAAGAAGCAATTCTAGAACCCTCCAAAGTATGGACGGTTTTGGAGGGTTTCCTAAGGTTTCTAGTAGTGATTGCATATAAGAAAATGATTTGAACTGTGATTAAATTTATTATTTATTCAATTCAAATCTTGCTTTGTCTGCAAGTTACCTAAACTATAAATAAGACTCATTGGTCTGTAGTTTTCGTTCATGAAATTATCTATAAGCATATGAACGAAAATCCCCTCATATCTCCTCTCTCTTCTTCATTTTAGGGTTTCTGGTTTTGGGTGTGAGCTATTAGAGACATCATCTTTTTGGTGTTAGCTTTCCAACACCAACAACTACAAATGATTGAAGTGATTTGTTCACTACAACAAATCAAAGGTGTATAACCCTAACTTGGTATTTTGATTACATTAGGGTTCATGTTAGATTTTTTGTTCTGGCATTCTGGGCCTGACTGTCCATTTTCACAATTTTGGGCTGCTGAAAACACTCTAGTTTATCACACTGTGGAATTTCTTCATTGTTGGGCCTGCCCAACTTAAAAAGCCAACATTTGAATTGAAGAGAATCATCAAAACGGGTTGAAGTATTGATTATCTGGGCAATCTGGCAGTATTTTACTACTTTTGTTGTGCTGAGGAAACTAAGCTGAAAGAAACAAGATCCGGCATTCTGGGCCTGATTGTCCATTTTCACAATTTTGGGCTGCTGAAAACTCTCTAGTTTATCACACTGCGGAATTTCTTCATTGTTGGGCCTGGGCAACTTAAAAGACCAACATTTGAATTTAAGAGAATCATCAAAACGGGTTGAATTATTGATATTTGGGCAATCTGGTAGTATTTTACTACTTTTTTGTGAGTAGTCCAAACATAAAAAAAAAGACTAAATAATAGATATAAATAATAATAATTTAAATTTTAGGTTGAAAGAATGAAAATGTCCAATAACCATTGTAACATTTACATAGGGACAAACAATTTCACCACTTATATATTTTTCGCATATGTATTTTCTGAACCTTCCTTTATCAGTTAAAGGAAACTAGAGAAGAATCCCGCTTTGCAGGAGTCACAGATTTACAATTTACAATAGTTTTATATATCAAGTAGTTTTTGCTTGCTTCCACTGCACCTTCAACATATCATCCGCACCCAAAACATGCCAAATAAAAATGCTAAAAAGCAGCCGAATGTAAAGCATAGACTCAGCAACACCCTGCAAATATCATAAGATTTTGAGTAACAACAGACATATTTTGATGTAAAGTAGAATGCTTTAAAAGGCATATTGACTTTACACATAGGAAGAAAAGAACACACCTGCAAGTAAAATTAAATAGATAATTCTATAATTCTAAGTAATTATTACAAATCATAAATTTACAAAACTCACCTCAATTAGCGTCCCCATATCAGTCCTACTTCCATGATAATAATGATAAAATTCAATTGGTAAACTTGCTGAATAATCATAATATCCTCTACCATGATTATTCACATCAACAACTGCATTTGTTCCTTCTTTAACTTCAATCTCATTTACTTTTTCTTCAATTACTTTATCTCCATTTTTAACAATGAAATTAAAAAAAAAAAAAATTAAGCATGAGTACATGGTGTACAGCCTTGTATCCAACAGTAAAAATAGACTAAAATGGAAGCATTGAAATAAAACAATAAAGAAGATTTCTATCAAAGTTCATGAACACCAAGATCATCCATAGACTTTTTATATCAAAAGAATAAACAATCAACACAAAAGAGAGACTACTTACCATAAGAATCACTTGGTGATGGCATAAATTGCATAAATAATCTAGGAATTCATCAAAACAAAGTCAACAACATGCACACCGAAAAAATCTACCTGCAATTCCAACCAACATACACAGATTAGACAGAAAAAAGAAGACAACATGAAATATATAGAATACACTATATTACTTCTTAATAAACAGAAATCGAGAGAAAATGAAACTTTACCTGATTCTTTATCGAGTTGTTCTTCATGGACCTTTTCATATAACAACAAAATGAAAGGAATGAATAAAGTGTTGATATGAAGTCTTCAAAATATCTCTCTGCTTCTTTGTTGGATAAGAGATTCAAAAGAAATCGTAGAACTTTGCCTTGCACATGTATAAATATAATATAAGCTAATCATATTATTTTTTTATATAAATAAAATCAATCAAAATTATAACTTCTTTAATTTTATTACACTCGCTAAATGAATCCCAGATTCCAGATTCTCTTCTGTAAAGATTGGTCGTGTCAACTAAGGCGTCATAGAGGATATTTCTACTTCTACCCTCTGCTTTAATGATCATCAGTCAAGAACTAAAATCTTGATTATTCATAGACATACCAAAAAAGGTCTATAAATCAACCTTACAACATGGAGACGATTAGAGCTTTTCTGACAATGGAGTGGAACAGTTTCTTGTTCAATTTTTGATCTGCTTTATCATAATTCACAAACAGAAGAAAAGTGATTTAGTTAAGAGGCTGAACAATTCAATGACACAACAACAATAAAATCATTGGAAGTTTATGAAAAAATCCAAAAAAAAGTACAGGCAAGGGTTGAGGATTGACTAATCTCTCGTCGTGCCTTGAAAAATAAACTAACCTGATGAGAGAACCTGATACAAACCAACTCCGCCATTGAAGGGTTTCGGTGAAGAAAGCATCGATCTTGAACTCATGAGGCTTCATAATTTATGTGGCCCTCGGAGGTTTCTTTTCACAATCAATGAAGAAATCAGTTTGGATATGGAATCAGAAGGTAGAAAGGGTTCAAGAACAGTAAGTTGGAAGTATACGAAAAGGGTTCAACATTGGCACCCTGATTCATGCATTTCGTCGAGCAGTTGGACTGCATAGTGAAACAACCTTTCAAATCTCAATATCAAGTGGGTGCGGTACAACTCAATATACACAGATGAAGGAATAAGCAAATAAAAAGGTAAGAGGTCCACCACATTCACTGAAACGGAAGATCGATTCTAATAAGTACAAAATGTTAACATTTAATTTGCACAATCATATTTTTCAACAGGTCAGTAATACTATTCACTAAGTTAAATAATATAGGACCTTGCAAATCCACGATTAGATGATGTTTAGACCTAATGAAACAAATAAAAGAAATGATTAATTTGAAGTTATGCAGGTAAGAAGCCGTAACTTACACGAAATTCAAACGGTTTGAAGGACGTCTGAGAGAAGATGTTAGAAGTGAAGAAATTGGGTGAACAGAGGGACCTTCAATTGTCGTAGAAAACGATCGAGATGACCGAAACAACATCAGTGCCATCTAGGGCTGGAGTTAAGGTGTTGGACTAAACGTCAGTATTCCCAAAAAGCAATAGAGCGATAACAATTCCAAATGAAGCGTCGGAAGCAGTCCATCAATTATGGCTTTCCGGGAAAGCAATTTTATCGAAATGAGAGTTGAGAAGGAGAAGGTGATGGTGGTTTCTTCCATGGCGGTGATCTGAGGAGGACGTAAGCGAAGAACGCCGACCGAGGTGCCCGACCGAGGTGGAATCTGATTAGGTGAAGTGGTTGAAGACGGACGGTGTCAATCGCCCTTTGCTGTGGCCTCCTTATCCGGCCTCGTTTTCCTCTGGACCTGCTATCAATGCACTCCCTTTGCACTGTACCTGAAATAGCCGATGGTGAAGGGGAAACTCAGAGGTCCAAGACACAAAAAGGAAGAGGGTCGAGCTCCGAGGGAAAGATAAAGTGAGCGGTGGTGGTGGAAAGATCGGGAAACAAATGACGAAAGTAAAATTTGATGGAGGAATCACGAAGCCATGGGAAAGAAAGGCTATCTGATTGGATAACAGGGGCGGTGGGCACTAATCTGATTTGTATTGGTTCTGGAACACGTGAAAGCGGTGGAAAACAGGAAATAACGCCACGTAACCCCATATCTGTTCCAAGGGTGGGTACGTAGCAGTCATTGACTAAGATGAATATATTAAATATTCAGAAAAGAGTTTAGATAAGTTAAAGAAAAAAACAAAAACCCACCAATCACAGCCAAATACTGTTCATCATGTAGTTTAGAATTAGTATATATATAAATTAACAACTCAAACAGTTATGTTTAAGTATATGTGAACACCACCCCTTTATATGTTTTATTTTTACATGAAGTGAAGGCTTGTTAAGCGCTTAATAAACCATAATCTCTCTCATATTAAGAAGAAGATAAGTGGTTGTAAAAAAATAACATTATTATATAAATTAAAAAATATATATTATTTTCATAAACGAGTAAATGAGCTTAAATATAACATTTATATTAAAAGTAGGGATAATAACTTAAAAGGGTAATGTATTTTTCGATTTGTACACATTTGGTCACTGAGTTTTTTTTCCGTCCACATTTACCCCTTCAACTTGTTAAACTGTACACATTCAGTCCTTATGACCGGTTACTACAGGTTAGTCGAGAAAAATGACTTAATATGGTAATATATTTTTCATTTTGTACACATTTAGTCGTTAATATTTTTGTACATATTTAGTCCTTAACTTTTTTTTTGTTTCAAAATAAGTCTTTTTTTGTACTCATTCAGTACTTATGAATGATTTCTTTAGTTTTTTCTCACGACATCTTACGTGAGACAATCATTGATGAGGTTTTTGGGGTTGTTGATGCTTATGTCCAACTTGATCTCGACTGCTTGGTTGCGTAGGTCTTGTGGTTTGGCTTAAGTCTTGTATTTTGAACATCGTAATTTCTTCATACGATATTATGATATATACGATCTTTATATCCACGTGCTCATTTTTTGAGTCTACTACAACTTTCATTAAGATTACTCCGGTTAAAATCTAATATATTTTTACTTACGATTTTATAAAAAAAAGCATTCATACATGCATTCATAAAAAAACGTATGGACAGGGGCAGACGCAGGAATACATAGTAGGTATTGCCGAGATGAAATAGGTGTCCGATACATGAAAAATAGGTATAAACGAAAAAAAAAATCAAAATTTTTTCCACTGCGAACAAAAAAACAGGTGTTGTCGGTGCAACACTGGGACCATGCTAAATCCGCACCGGCGTATGGATATAAAAATCGTAAGTAAAAATATATTATTTTTTAATGGGAGTAATCTAAATGAAAGTTGTAGTAGACTAAAATACGAACGCATGAATATCAAGATCGTTAAAATTCAAGATCGTATGAAGAAGTTATGACGTTCAGACTACATGACCTAAACAACCAAGTAGTCGAGATCGCGATAGATATAAGCATCAAAAGCCCCATATACCTCATTAATAAATGTCTGATAATGAATGTCTCAGGTAAGATTTCGTGAGAAAAACCTAAAAAAATCATTCATAAGTCCTGAATGAGTACAAAAAAATAACTTATTTTGCAAAAATAATAATAAATAAATAAAATAAGGACTAAATGTGTACAAAAATATTAATGACTAAATGTGTACAAAGTGAAAAATATATTACTCTATTAAGTCATTTTTACCGGGTAATCTGGAGTAGTCGGTCATAAGGACTGAATGTATACAGTTTAACAAGTTGAAGGGGTAAATGTTGACGAAAAAGCTCAGTGACAAAATATATACAAATCAAAAAATATATTACTCTTTTAAGTCATTATCCCTTAAAAATATGTTTCAAAAAAAGCCATATATATTTTAAAAAGTAATATAGAAGAACTTTTTTTTTTCGAAAGCAATTTTCTATTTGAAAGCAATTCTTTTTGTCTATGTCTCTTATAAATTCTGAATCCGTTTGAATTCAATCTGATTCCCCGAAAAATCAGGCCTAGCACTTCACCAGCAATGAAAGAGCAAATGACCAATATATTCGGTGAGAAGCCACGTCAACTCCAAGAAACATGCCACGCGTCTATTTCCTAACACGTGTCATACACCTAATGCGTCTGCCATTTTCTTTTTGCCATAACGAAATCCCCATCTATATATTATATGCTCTCTTCTTGATCATCTTCAAAACACCAAAGTCTTAGCAGCAAATGGAGTCACAGTTGCAGCACACTCATGGCCGTCACTACGATGATCAAGACCCTCTCACCGCTACCGCCACCGCCGGCCATCACTCTGGTAACAACCATCCGATCCATTGCTCTCTGTAAGTTAATTAACTCACGATATAGGGTATGGGTTTCAAGATGATGTGTTTTTATGTTGTTGAAGGTCATGATTACAATGAAGAGCATCATGGCGAGAAGAAATCCGTGATCAAGAAAGTTAAAGAAAAGACCAAAAAGTTAAAGAACACGATCACAAAGCATGGACATGGTCATGGAGGCTCTGATCAGCATCATGATCACCAGGATGATGAGGATGAGGATGACGATGATGAAGAAATGGAGAAAGACGCTGAAGTCCATGGCGCACCTAGTAAGTCTTGTTTGTTCTTGAATCCATTTCATGATTATAGCTGTACGACAAAGACACAGGTACATATTTGAAGCGTCGATTTTTGAATTTGTATGCAGTGTATGATTCAGCTAGAGTTGGCGTGGGTGGTCCTGATGCAATTTTTGCACAACCCAGGGGTAATTTGGAAAGGCCATCAGTGATGGCTGAGGATCGTTACACAGGACATAGTCAAGAAGTAAATCCAGAAAAATGGAGGGGTAAAATTGGACCACCAACTGGAATGGAGGAACACCCATTTGCCCCCAACCCAACACCATATGGTACAACCCGTAAAGCATGAAGTACTATTTGATATACTTTGAATTTTGACTTGTGGGAGCTATATTACAGGATCAAGACATGTAGCTCACCAATTTGGCAACCGTGGGTCAGGGCAGGACGTAAATCAGGAAGGATTGAGGGGTAGAATTGGGAAATCTACAGGGATGGTGGAAGATCCTAATGGCCCGAAGGGTTCAGCTCCTTCAAACTATGAGACCAAAGTCACTGATCCAACACATACAGGTACAAGTCGTAAAGCGTAAAGTACACTTCAAGGGTTTCAATTTCAATATAACAGATTTCGTGGTTATACGTTGTGATTTTTATTTATTTTTAATTAAGGTGGCAAGGAAGCACAACTCTCGCAGATCCAACATTCTCTTGGCAAAATGGGTATCCGCGATGAACACGATTCTAGTTCCGATTTTGAGCCGAAAACCTTAAGTCATAACCACCCTGAAAATCTACCACGCGATACCGCCACCGGAAACCCATCAAGCCGGAGCAGCAGCTACGTCGAGAAAATATCATCCTCTGCTTCCGCCATAGCCGATAAAGCTGCAGACGTTATCACCTCCAAACTTGGGTATTCCGGCCAAACCCCAAGTACCGGACAACATGAAACCGGAAAAAGTTCAGGCGCTGCAACAGATTACGCGCATAAGATTACCGACACAGTGACAGGGACATTGGCGCCGGTTTATGAGAAAGTGGTGGATGCTGGGAGCGCAGTGATGTCAAAAGTGCAAGGGAGTGTGTCTGGAACAGGGCAACCACAAGTTCAGAGAGGATCTGACATGAGTTCAGGGAGTAGGACGATGGAGAAAGGGAGGGAAGCCGATAAGGGGGTGTCGGTGAAGGAATATTTGGTAGAGACGTTGAAGCCTGGGGACGAAGATAAGGCGTTGTCGGATGTTATAACGCATGCTTTTCACAGGGGAAACCATGGAGAGAGCGAGAAGAAATCGGGGGAGGATAGACCAATAGATAGAGTGACGGAGTCTGTTGAAGTCCGAGAACGATTAGGGACTGATCGTCGGGAAGAACATGAACATTCCGGCGATGTGATAACTGCGGATAAAGGTGTGGCAGATAGGTTGATAGGGGCAATGGGGTCGTGGTTTGGTGGGAAAGGGAATGCACCACAGGGATCTCTCGGAACGTCTTATGGTAAGTATATGTAGATGTGAGTGATCATCTTGGAAAATCGAATTCGAATTGCAAATTAAAGTGTTTTGTGTTCTGTTTGTATTTGCAGTGACGGATGAAGGGTTGTCCAGTAATGCCCCCGGTAGTAAGAAGAGTGGAAGTGGGAGAGAGGTTTGAGTGTTTGGTTATATGATGGTGTTGGTGTGGAATAAAAAATGTTGGTTTGACTTTGCTTTTTAATGTAAAGATGTGTGTTACTGTTTGTATATGAAGAAGATGTGGTCTGGAAGATGGGTCGTTTTGTATTTACACAGTTAAATCTTAGTTTTGGTCTGTATTTTTGCGATTCGCGCACCAGCAATAAACAAGAACACGGTTTTACTTTGTGGTTTACTTCAGCAAATTAGTCACAAAAAGACAAAAGCCTGTTGTCCAATCTATGGAAGGCAATTGGCCATAGGCCAAGAACTAAATGCGTGGATGTTCTGCTGTGTAGAAAGCAAATACGTGGTGTGTGTTTGTAGTGTTTCTATATTTAAAAGGATGGTTGTGATTTCATTTTGATCTTAAAAAAGATTTTTTTTTTTTTTTAAAAAAAAGACTTTAGTTTGTGAATGTTGGAAAAGAAATTTTGAAAAAGAGTGAATAGACTTTTATAAATTAAAAAATAACTGTTTGTTTGTTTTCTAATCTCTAAATATTATTAAAAGAGAACCTTAAATTCTAAATTGAAGAAACAAGGGCATTTGATTGCATTTCACTCTTAGCTCTCCACCTTACGATGGTTTTGCTGACATCATCTTACACCAAAATACGCACGCTCATCGTATTGTAACGTCCTTCTTACATTTCATTCCTAGGTTTTCCCCTCCGCATAGTCATCAGCGAAGAGCATATATCAACATGAAGTCATTTTCTTCTTCTTTTTCTCTTTCTCTCTCCAATCCATCAATGGATGTAGCTGTGTTCGAAAAGATGAAGACATTAAT